TTACCAACTAAATTATCTGGTTTGGGGTACGAGTGGCATCTTGGAGTCTGAGGACCACACACTCACTGTCAGTCTACCTAAATAGGGACGGAAACCCTGGTTGGTACGCTGTTGCATTGGGTTGTTCCCAAGATCCTGCCTCTTCTGGAGTAGGGCGCCAGGACCTTGTTTTGGCAAAGGGGCTTGTCCTTGTGAGGTTGACTGTAAGTGAATTGTGCAGTGTTCTGACCCCGGGTGAACCCAGTAGGGCTGCAGTTGGCGATGGGGGTGAAGAGTCGTGCTGCCCCTGCCAGAACCTCGCTACCTCCAGGGATTGCCCCAGTATAGGTTGTTAAGCAGGACATGCCCAGCCCTTCCTTGAAATTCTAAACAGTCTTCCAGATGGAGTTGGAGTAGCTCCCGGGGAGGACAGTGGGTCTTATGTAACTTCATAGACTGCCCTCTTTTTTTCTTCCTTCCCTTTTAAGGAGAAAAACAGATTGTTCCTGGACTAATGCTGGACTTTTTGCCTCACATCCTGCATTCTTTCCTTGCTACTCAGCAGCCCCTGTGAATGGCTAATGGCAGAATTGAAGGCTGGCGAGGTTAAAGGGTGAGGCAGGAGAAAAGAGGAAAGAAGGAATGTCAGAACACTCTGTTCTGGGTCTCCTGCTGGGCCTAGGCCCAGCAGTGGAAGTGGTCCCTGGGGCCTTCTCTGCTTGTGCCAGAAGCCAGCCAGTGAGCCTGTTTCCTCCCCAGTACTCCACACCCTGGCCGAGAGAACTGGGCTCAGACTGTATAAACTGTCCACACTTGTGATAGCTGCGGGCCCCTCTGGAGAAACACATCTCTCCAGGGTAGTTTAGTGAAGATTCGGTTGCTGAATGAGCTCAGAGATAGAGCTGTTACCTGACGTGTGAGCTCAGGATACAGATTAAGCATCTGCTATGCACCGGACCTTCGGCTAGCTTAGGCAGCTACAAAGATGGTTCATACAGCTGCTGTCTGGAGCATGCGGCCAAAGAGGGAAGGAAAATGCATGAGATGTTGATATTTACAATAGCTTATACCCTTAGGGTCATGTGCATCTCATGGTTTTATTTCTTTTATAAGGTTGACCATCAGGTCCGTATCCATCTGTGAAGTACTGTGTTAACCCAGGATTAACAAAACTATAGGAAAATCTGAGGGCTGTGTAGGAGTCATTTAGACAAGAAAAGTTTCTAGACAGCACAGAAACCACAGGGCAAAGAGCCTGAAGGAATTGTGAAAGCTCAAGTATACCCTGAGAAGTTGGAATTCTTTAGAAATCTTTGAAGATTTTTAAATGGTCCCAAAACTGTACAATTTACAAGGTAGAGCATGATATTTCTGTGTCTTTACATAATGTAAAATGACCACATCACAGTAATTGGCATATCCTTCACCTTAAACATTTATCAGTTGTGTTAGAAATATTCAAAATCCTCTCTGCTAGTCATTTTGAAATAATCAGTCAGTTATTCTGTTAAGAGTTTTTAGGTAAGAGGGTAATAGACTTCATTGTAAAAGGATGACTCAGGGTCTCAAGCTAGATGTTGTAAAGATTCAGACAAGTGGTAATTATAGGTTAGTCTTAGTAGCAAAAAGGATGGAGAAAGGTGGATAGGATCAGCAAGACTTGATTATTGAGATGTGGTAGGACATCTAAAGTAGAATATAGCAGCAGAAGAGTGGCATTGCGTAGTCTCTGTCATCCAGGCCCCTTCCACTCCTTTGTGCTCTTCCTGCTGCTGTAGGCCCGAGCCCTCAGCAGCTCAGGAACTGATGGACTAATCACTCACCTGACTCTATCTGAGGGAGTAAAACTTGATTCTCTGGGGCCAGCAAAAAAGGGACACACACGCACACACACACCCCTCCAACATGTGAGGATCTCACCCAGGGTGCCGACAGTGGCAAGCCTCCAACAGGTCAGAGAAACTGAAGAGGAGATGCAGAGTAAGTAACTACCGGAGACACAGACAGACAGACACACGAGGTCTTCTCTGAGGGCCAAATCATAGGTCTTCATTTTATTATTCTTTCCATTGCATGTTCTACTTCATTCTTTTTCTGTTCTGTTCTTTTGCCCTCATGCTCCCTTCTTTTTCGTTTTATTCTTCCCTTACAATCTAAATACCCCAGCAGAATCTTTCAAGCAATACAAAAATTACAATTGGGTTCCATTCTATTTTTTAAGTAAATAATTACAGTGAGTACAAGTAAAAAACATGTTTCTCATTTGCCTTACATGATTAAACATTTCACATATTGCAGCTGAAAAATTATTTCCAAGGACCTACAGTTCCCTTACATGATTAAACATTTTATGAATAATAAGTGAAAACCAAATTATCCCCAAGAACCTACATACATTCATGTCTGAGCAACTTGTTATAGATTAACAGAGTGTAAACAAGCAAGGTGTTTTTCTCAGCCAGTTCTTTTACTGGCAGGCTGCATTTTGTGGTTTCAAAGAAAGGATCAATCATTTTATTATTTATCTCAAAAGATAATCTTATAAAAATGTTAAGAGAATCACAAGTCTAAACCTTTATATGACAAAAACAGTCATTTCTAATTTAAATCCTCCAGGTGCATACCCATTCATCATCAGTTTTTTATTAAATTGTATCAGGAACCTGAAGGCAGAAGTGAGCACAAAAAAATTAATCATCACCTTTGATCACCAACCCATTCTAGCAAGAAAGGTATGTCAGCAACAGCCCCGTTGACATTGTTTTGTTCCCTGACCTCAGTCCCTCACTCAACTGTCAAAAGTGTGTCTCTATAAACTTCAAATTGTTCCCCAAGATTTTCTATCTCAAAGCCATTAACAAAAACATTTTAACCTACCTTCCTAACAATCTCTAGGTCTAGATTCTTTCTAAGGGTGGTGGTTGAGTCAGTAATCTGCTCCAGCAGCCGTGCTTGGGAAAAGTCAGTCACTATTATTGTAAGTACAGGTTACACTGCCCAGTGAGAGGCTAGAAACCCCTTGAGAATTTTTGTACAGCTCATAGATTATGAGGGTCGTGGTGGCCACAAAGGCAATAAACAGAGCTATGCTCAATAACAGTGTGAAGTCCTTGGGGCTCTGCCTCTCCAAGGCTCACTCAGGTGTGGCTCTGCTGATTGCCAAGCCATGTTCCGTGAGTTCCAAAACTGCTTGTGGTTCCATTTGTGTGTCTCCCAACAGCTTCTCCCAGGCCATTGTCATGGCCCTAGGTAGTGACTAGTTGTCACACCTACCCTGCTAGCAGTAGGATAGGTGAGAGAGGAAGGATGGATCCCATCATCGTACAGAGATTGCCTCAAAGCCTACACACTTCCTCTTCAAGCACGGTCACTCCTGCAGGGGAAATAGGAAGACAGAATCCAACTTGGACAACTTTGTTATTCAGCCAAGCTACCAAAGTGAAAAGGGGTAAGAATGAATATTTGATTGTCAGCTAAGTCTGGGCCTAGGGAAGGTAGGGAACTAATTCAGTACAGTCCGAACTTGAAGAGACTTTTTTTTTTTTTCAAGACAGTTTCTCTGTGGCTTTGGAGGCTGTCCTGGAACTAGCTCTTGTAGACCATGCTGGTCTCGAACTCACAGAGTTATCTCTGCCTCCCAAGTGCTGGGATTAAACGCTTGTGCCACCACTGCCCGGCTGAAGAGACTTCTTTAGCCACTAGACAAAAATGATCATATTTACATCTTGTTTTATTCTTGTGAAGAGTAAATAAATATCAGTTCAAATAAGCCACAAGGTTAAGTATGAATATAACCGTATTGATTTGATGTCAATCACTACCATAGGAAGTTGCCATGCTTATGATTTGTATATCTTGTCATTTATTAATAGTTATATTATTGAAAGGGTAGTGGGTTTTGTTCTATTTTAGGACAAAATCTAAACAAATAAGGCATTTACTCAGTGTTCTTCTCTACCGAGGATGTTAGCAGCGTGTTAGGGTAAGGGTAGCAAAACTTGGGAGCAAGTCAGACCAGCGTTCTAAGCCCAGCGCTGATCTTTCCAGCTTTGTGGTCTTGGCTAAACTTAATCACAGACCATCCTAGTTTCCTCGCCAGCAAAGTAGGGACAGAGTATCTACTCTGCATAGTTACTGTAAAGATTAGAAATATGTTTATGACCAACATGTGTTTATGAATAGCACTGTGGGGAGCCTAATATCAATAAGTAATGGGTAATATAGCCGTCAGCCGTGTATTCCTTTCCTGAGATCAGGCTGGCTTCAAATTCAAGAGATCCGCCTGCCTCTGCCTCCCAAGTGCTAGGATTAAAGGCCTGCAGCACGCTACCACCACCTGGCTGATTTTTACAGTTTTTAGAAGGTTGTACACTTCAAATTTTCTGACAGTGAATGTCAGATGTTCACACCTCAGAAAAGGCAGTAGCGGCAAGCATCAATAAGGAATAGTTTCTCTTTTCCTTCTCTACAAGTTCAAGAGACCTGACTAGCTGAGGAGTTGCAGGCCTAGAAAGAGTAAAGTCTTGTGTTGGGCTTAGGGTACAGGACGCCTTTGTCCCACTGCTCACTGGTGCTCAGTCCTTCATTTGGGTCGCTTTCTGGGGCTAAACCGAGTCCAGTAAACCCTGCTGCCGACTGTATATCAGGTGGAGCACAGCCTCAAGCCATGTCCTGGGTCACCACAGTCAACACGGAGCAAGTGAGGGGAGGGAGGGGCTCCCTGCTGCTTTGGCTTTTTCCTACACAGAGATTCCTAACTGCCTCCCCTGTTTCTCAGCCCACTTTCCAATGTGGATGCTGTGACCTCGAAGGGGGCAAAGCCCAGGAGGGAGCCAAGGTGCTCGGCCTGATCGCGTCAGTGATTACAGCTCTGAAATGCTTTGGCTCAGATGCTTTCGTAGCCTTTACATTTTTCTTTATATTTTTCAAATTTTGTTCTTGCTTCACCACCAAAAGAACTACAAGTTGCCCCCTTTACAGGTGGCAAACCTGGAGCTTGTGAGGACGTAGCCTGCCCCATCTGACCTAGTACCTCAGAGAAAATTCAAGAGAGAAAGCTGCGTTCCTGCCCTGGGCATCCTGCCATGATCCCGGGATGCTGACTTCCACCTCTATCACTGGTGATCAAATCTGGTTGTCTCTGTGGCTGTATTGTTGTCCTGATGACCAGGTAGATAAGCCTTGAATGACGGAAAAAGAATGTATTGACTGAGTTCACACCCTGGCTCCTTGAGTTGCTGGTGTCTGTGAGTCAACCATAGCAAGGAGGTGAAGGGGTCATTGTTACTATGCGCTTGCCTGGTTCTTGGTACTTCTGCATTCCTACCTGATGTGTGGAACATTTTTGTCATTCTCCAACAGTCTGCTGTTGATGAGTAGCCCCTGGTTAGGCCTGTCTGCATCTATTTACATAAACGGCCCAGCTGTCAGCTTCCTCGCAGTACTGTCTGCCCGATGGGGCAGGGCAGGGACTCCCACTCTCCTTGGGGCTCCCTGTGGTCAGCATATAAAAGGTTAGTGGGACCCCACTCTGTAGGCCTTTGGGAAGAGGTGATGTGGATGCTGGCTTCTGGCCAGACAGCTGTTTCTTGGTGGCTCTAGCCTGTCGTGTCCTGTAGGAATGCAGCTCTACCGGCACAAGTCTCTAAGAAATGTGATGTTTCCACTGGAAACTGCAAATCAGGTGAGGACAGTCTCAGCCTGCTCTTTGTCTCATGTGTCCCTTTTTCTCGTCAGCATACACTGCACTTGTCTGTGACTTGTGACAAGGCCAAGCTTGGAAATGTTGGGTGGAAACCCTTCCTCAACTTTGTTCAGAGCATCTCAGTACAAACAGTTTGTAGGTGTACGTTTACCTATGTCTTCACCGAAGCAACTGTTAGCTCTTCTAGAAGAGGCCTACCGACTGAGGAGAATGCTCTGGGCAGCAGCCTTCAGTCTGAGGCAGATGGAATCACAGACACCTGGACACCTGACTGCTGCTTGTTCCCATTCCCTGTCTGTTAACCCTGAACTGTTTGCCACAAAGCGTGCTTCCTTCAGAACCCAACTTAGCAACCTGGAGAAGCCTGAGGCCACTCCTAGAGCAGGAAGCTGCCCTACATTTGGACAGTAACCAGTAGAACTTGATACTGACGCCAGAGTGTAAAAATAAACACCTCGTACAGTTCTGTCTTAATCCACAGCCATCAGAGTTGCTATTATTAGTCTGTAGGCCAAACAGGCAGCTGTGATTGGGCATACGACAGCCTGGACAGGCCTATCCTGCCATGTTGGGATCAGGCTGTTCCTCCCCTTCACACACTGGGAGCTGAGCTGGGGCTCCAGGAGAAGTGCCTGCAGTCTGGGAACATGTCTTACAGCAGGTAACACTATCCATAGATGGCATCTTTGCTCTGGGAGGCAGAGTGAGACTCCAAGGCTACCAGCATAGATCTGACGGACACGGGATCATTAGGCCTAGTGCAGGGGAGAGAAGGAAGGAGGGGAGGGAGGGCATGACTGTCCTCCCATCTCCTTTGACTCTGTCTTGGACAGTGTCTTTCTCAGTCCAGGCTGGCCCCCGACATACTATGTAGCTGAGGATAGCCTGCCTCTCTGTGGCGCTGGGATCACAGGTGTGTGTCATCATCCCAGTTTATTCCTTTGGCTGTTAGATAATTTGCCAACAAATACCTTAGACCTAAAGGCTTTAGATTTCTCTGGAAACTGGGAAAGAAGAAAAGAAACCAGAACGCTAGTCATCTACCAGAGACAGAGTAATAATAGTGACATATTGCTGAGCATGTATGTCAGGTATGACATGTGCTCTTCAATTCTACTTCAAGCCTTTGAGGGAATATCACAGCAGTTAACAGCATGAAGTTACCCAGAGTTCTATAGCTGACAGGTTATGTCTCAGATTGGAATCAGACCCATCTTAATGCCAAGTCCTTGCTCTGTACAATACAGAACCCAACCTCTTAAGTCCTCAGGACAAAGGCAGACACCATGCACCTGCTTACTAAATTATTTAAGTGAACAAAACAAAACTTATACTAACCTTGGTCTTGTAACTAAAGCAAATACCACTACTGGTACAAAGAAAGTCTTTGCTGCCCCTACAAAGGCAGTCCCAGTTCTCTGCCTGAGCATGGAGAGCTGGACTCTGGAAGCTGCCACCTAAACTCTACTGGGAAATAAGGCACGTCAGGAAAGGCTTCCACTGTGACAGAGGAGTCGCAGAGACACTGACCCCACTGCTGAGAACATGGCCAGATTGGAACTAGGCTCCCTAGAGAAGTGAGCCTGTGGTGGCCTCATGCTGAGGCACGGTATACTTGGAGGTTTCCTTGAAAGGCATTAGGCTTCCCTCTGCTCGCTCCCTCACCTCCCCCACCCTGGCCCCACAACTGGTTTGTGTAATTCAATCTGGATTCTTCTCATAGCCACCTCTCTATGCATATGTGCCCTTTTATTTACAGCTCTGCACACACTGATTGGCTAGCAGTTTGGCAGCCTGCATGCTTCAGTTCTCTGTCTGAGAGGAAGGGGAGCAGAGAACACTGTGGCTTTGCTTCCCCGAACCCAGGAGCCAAAAGGCACTACCAAAGGATAAGCAAGGTGTTGACCACACCGGACAGCTGAGAAGCGGTTCAGAGGCGTTGTTTGATCCAGCTGTCTTACTCCTGCAGATCAGTACTTAAGAACTGTCTCCAAGCAAAGCCACACTGGGCTCCAGCGCTATTCCTGTCTCTAGTCTTGGTGGTGTCTTGCTCCCTTACTTCGCCTGCATCTGGCATTGGGAGACTTTGAGGGCCTTGCTGACTGCTGCATTCTCCATCCCTTCTTCTGAAGAGCTCAGTCTGTCAAGGTAGGGCCTAAATCTTGCCTAGTTCCCTAATGACCTCCTCTCCCCTCTCACCTGTCTAACCTCAGAAGAAACAGGACTTGCGGCAGGTTCTCAATCTCCAGAGCCGTAACTGTGGCATGACAAGCCGGCCTCTGAGAGCGAGGAGTGTGTATGCACATTCCCTTTGGAATGAAGAGAGTAGGAAGGAGACTGTTCATTAACACTGCACAGGGACCCTCCTTGGAGTTAGGGTTTGGTTTACTTTGTAGTTATACCTGAAAGGGACTGTGAGAGGTCTTCAGGACGACCAGGTGCCAGAAGCTGAGCTAGATGCTGGCCTGAAAGACTGTCTTTCTAGGTATAATCCCTTCCTGCAAAAAAGAGACCCTAGAGCAAAGCTGAGTTTATAACCAGGTTTTTGTGAAATAAAGAAAAGTGATTCTTGCCGGGTGTTGGTGGCACACGCCTTTAATCCCAGCACTCAGGAGGCTGAGGCAGATGAGTCTCTGTGAGTTCAAGACCAGCCTAGTCTACCGAGGGAATTCCAGGACAGGCTCCAAAACAATACAGAGAAACCCTGCCTCAAAAAAAAAAAAAAAAAAAAAAAGAAAGAAAAAGAAAGAAAGAAAAAGAAAAGTGATTCTTGGTCAGCAACAGTTAGTGGCTTGTTCTTTTCCTGGGTGTAATGGCCCAAAGCTGGTGTCTCCATTCATTGAATTGGGACCTTGGGAGTTCTAGCCACTGCTGGGACTAAGAAGCTTGGAGCAGGTATGAGTTTTGCCATGGGTTTTTTCCTATCAGTGATGTTTTAAAAGTGTCTGCCCATTGTCGATTCATAAGGAAGCAGACAGACTTGGGGAAAAGACATACAGCACACACACAGTCCTGCTGCAAGGTCAGGCTTTTTGCAGGGTGCTTGTGTTGAGTTTTAGAGACAGACTTTTAGCTGATCTCCTCGGCAGCATACACAAGAAGCCCAAAGCAGACCAACTCCTGTGCTTGGAAAGAGGACGCTATATTAGGGAGGCCTAATAAGGAAGCAGCTGGTGTGTCTGGGACAGCCCTTCCAGAACACTCCCAGAATTTTGGCCAGCCTTACTTGGAGTCCAAAATAACATGAAACAAGCTAGGAAGAGTATCCAGTTTTGCCAGGAGCAGCTACACTGCCCAGAGGGAAGTCAGACGGCCTTGTGGACGTCGGCCACCATTCCATTTGTAAAGGCAGACTCCTGAGGTCATGGCCAGGAGTGCTCACACATCTGGCAGCTTGTTTATTTCCTTGTAACTCAGCCACTGATTGATACCCACTATTAATGCCAGTTCTTAAATACCCAAATTCTTTGAGCATGTCTCATGTATTTTAGAGACAAGCACTTTCCTGTGGGGAAGTCAGCACCTTCATCTAATCTCACAGCCTCTGAAGGCACAGAACCTTGAAGCCAGGGAAGGGGGTTCTCCAAGAGAACACTGACAAATTCACGGACAGAACAAAGCTCATTTCTGCTCTGGGAAGCTTACTCTGCTGTTTTATTAGTAGTTGATTGAGGAGCCGTGCAGAAAGAGATGTTTCTTGTTTTGAATATTTTGTGTGTGTGTAGTGTGTGTGTATACACATGTGTGTAGTGTGTGTGTACATGTGTGTATGTGTGTGTTTGTAGTGTGTGTGTGTGTGTGTGTGTGTGTGTAGGCCAGAGATCCTCAATCACCTCTTCACCTTATTGTAATGAGGCAGGGTTTTCCTCTGAACCTGGAACTCACCTATGTGGCTGGACTGTCCAGCAAGCCCCAGGATCCTCCTACTTCCCTGGCTCAGGAATTACAGGCGTACTGCCATCATGCCCAGCCTTTTACGGCTCTGAATTCAGGCCCTCAGCTTGCACGGCCAGCACATAACTGACTGAGTCATCTCCCCAGCTCCCAGAGATGACTTCTTTTAGTTAAGCTATTTATTTCATTATTCATATTCTTCAGTTTCAACAAACCATGTTCAGTCCTGTCTTTGCCTCTGCCCAGATGTTTCTGGGATGTTTTTCTTTAAGTGATAGAATCCCTTTGAATTCTACTCGGAGTCCTCACAATGAGGAAAAGGGAGTTGGAGAGCACTGTGGTTTAGTGTCCCAGCTTCAACCAGAGCAGATATGTTTTGCATATTAAGTCTGAGAAAATAATTGAAATCCATGTTCTAACTCTTGTATCATACTGCAACCCTGCCCACCCCATAAGCACATTGACAATGATTTTAATGAAACTGTAAGTCCCTTATCTTAGACTACTAATCCCAAACACCCCTCAGTGCCTTGTACATAGCAGTTCCATAGATGCTCATAGTGTGATCTTGGAAGCTGGGAGATGGCTGGATCGGTAGAGTACTAGCCCTGTAAACATGAGGACATGAGTTTGGATCCTCAGCGTCTGTGTAGAAGCAGGACTCGATGGCACGCCTGTAACCCCAGCAGTAGGGTAGCAGAAACAGGCAGATGCCTGGGGCTTGCTGACTAACTCTTTTTGCTAGCCATCATGATTTCTGAGCATGCACATACCAACCCTGCACATAAGCACACATGCACACAGCATGCACATACCAACCCTGCACATAAGCACACATGCACACAGCATGCACATACCAACCCTGCACATAAGCACACATGCACACAGCATGCACATACCAACCCTGCACATAAGCACACATGCACACAGCATGCACATACCAACCCTGCACATAAGCACACATGCACACAGCATGCACATACCAACCCTGCACATAAGCACACATGCACACAGCATGCACATACCAACCCTGCACATAAGCACACATGCACACAGCATGCACATACCAACCCTGCACATAAGCACACATGCACACAGCATGCACATACCAACCCTGCACATAAGCACACATGCACACAGCATGCACATACCAACCCTGCACATAAGCACACATGCACACAGCATGCACATACCAACCCTGCACATAAGCACACATGCACACAGCATGCACATACCAACCCTGCACATAAGCACACATGCACACAGCATGCACATACCAACCCTGCACATAAGCACACATGCACACAGCATGCACATACAGGTCTTAAGAGCCTCAGGATGGGCCAGTGAGTTGGTTCCATGGGTAAAGGTGTTTTCCCCAAGCCTGACAACCTGAGTACAGTTCCTGGAACACATGTGAGGGTAAGGGGGAACTGACTCCTGCAAGTTTTCCTCTGCTTACATATGTATACGCGGTGTGTGTGTGTGTGTGTGTGTGTGTGTGTGCGCGCGTGCACACCTGTACGCGCGCTCACCCCTGCATGTGCATTTATAAATGTACAAGAAGAGATTGCCTTAGGAAGCTTCTAGATCAGAAAAGTACAGTTTATCATAATTTATTTTGACTTGTTTTAATTTGAGCATGTATTATCTTTGTTACTAGATTAAGTCATACAGTTTGGGGTAAAACATGGCCAAACATGGGTTGTTGCTGTTATCCAATATACCTGAATAGAACAACTCAAACAAAAGTACTCCCTTATTGCCAAATAAGTTCCCTGAGGTGAAAGGTCAATGGAGTGATTATTGGGAAAGATCAGGGACAAAGGTATTGTTACATAGTCCTCTTGCTCTGTCTCTCTTGAGACAGGGTCCTGCTATGTAATCCAGGCTGACCACAAACACAGTCCTCCTGCCGCAGCCTCCCAAATGCTAGGATCACAGATGCTGAGATCACTACACCTGACTCCTTGTTCTCTGTGTTAGGGGCTGTCCTCAAAAGCCTAGTGTTCTTTAGCTCTAGATTTATATTTGAGAAGGGCACATTAGGAGCTGGAGGGATGGCTCCAACTCTTTTCCAGAGGACCTGATTTCAGTTCCCAGCCCCCACACAGCAATTTTAGGAGATCCAACACCCTCCTGGCCTTCTCTGACTCTGGGCATGCAGTGAGGTTGGGAAATAGTGATGTTGTGGTCTGTGGTGTGCTGGATTAAAGGAAGCACTGAACATGTGAGAGCTGTCGCTAGTACTGCCAAACAGTGCTTGACTTGGCCTGATAGAAAGTGTCAGGGACAGCCGGGCGTTGGTGGCGCACGCCTTTAATCCCAGCACTTGGGAGGCAGAGGCAGGCGGATCTCTGTGAGTTCGAGGCCAGCCTGGTCTACAGAGCGAGTTCCAGGACAGCCTCCAAAGCCACAGAGAAACCCTGTCTTGAAAAACCAAAAAAAAAAAGAAGTGTCAGGGACAGAGACCCTGGGCCCGAGCTCTCACAGGAATCAACTACATGCCATGTGTGTGGTCACAGGTGACTAGCTCAACCTACAGCAAAACCCTAAGTGTTCTATATCAGCTCCAGAAGAGGCCAGGACCCCGAAACCTCTCCAGCCATCCTGAGAGGACTAGTTATGGCTTAATTTTATAAATCCCTCCCTTTCTCCTTCCTTCCCTTCATTGTTTACTACTGTCCCTCAAGCAAGTCAAGGTTGGAGATGAGCCCTTTTTTTTTTTTTTTTTTTAACGAGACAGGGTTTCTCTGTATTGTTTTGGAGGCTGTCAGACAAGCCTAGCCTGGAACTCACAGCGATCTGCCTGCCTCTGCCTCCCGAGTGCAGGGATTAAAGGCGTGCGCCACCATCGCCCGTCTGGAGATGAGTCTTTAGTCATTTTCCATCTCTTTAATTCAGCTCTCTTCTATATGGAGTCAGGAGATACACAGGTCTCGTGAAGCATGGAAGAAACAAGAAAGGGAAAGTGATGAGTGTAATAAAACACACTTGTAATCACAGCACTCAGGAGGGTGAGGCAGGATTGCCACACATTGGAGACTAACCTTGACTATACATCGAGTTGGAGACCTGTCTGAGCTACATATAGCAAGACCCTATCTCCAAAAAGCCAAGAAAAAAGAAGAGAGTTAGTGCCTGTGACCCAGACTCGTGCTTTCTTCAAAGGCTTCTTGAGACCCAGCATCCAAAGTCTTCAGCATGGAGTCACGACAGCATAGTCTGCCCTCCATACCATGGGTTCTCCATCC